GCCAACAGCGGCGCTCTGAGTCTCAGATGCAGAACCGCAAGAAGTGCCCGGATCTAGGGTTTTAAAAAGAAATAAACTGAAACCTCCTACAGATAATAATGCAATCTCTTTTAAATTGCAGATTTTTAGTTCTTGGTAGAAGAAATAAATCATATTTACATAACTGCCCAGAGTTGCTGGGAGTTGGGTGCCATATAAATTTAATTATTATTATTAATAATAACAACAATAATTGCAGTTAAAAATAACTATGTATTTATTGAAAACTGAAATTGAAAAGTACAGGCAAGGAAAGTTTAAAGCTGGGTCCTATATGGCGCAACACAGACTTACCCCTTTCAAAAGTTATTACTAAATTGCAGTTTTTAATATGATAGAAAGATATTGCGTGGAGAATAATTGTATTAACTGTATCTAATTAACATGATTTAATTTTTATAACAAGCAAATTTATATCTAATTGAGTTTTGCCCTGGCTCTGCCTCCTTTTTGAAATCTGCCCTGCAACCAGCCTTCCAAAGGCCATATGTGGAGCTCAGGTCAGAAATGCTGGCACACTTTGGATTGAAGAAATGGGGTTCTAATATTTAATTCTTCATAGGTCATGCTACGAAAGTCTCTTTGTTTCAACTTCAGAAAAAGGGTAACTGTGGTAGTATAAATACTATCTGAATTAGGAGAAATCTTGAGCAATCAGTCTTTTAATGTCCTGTTGCAGTTTTGTCAGCTACTAATGTAACATTCTTATGGGTGAATGTATTAAGTTCCTATATTTGTTTAGTTACAAGATGGTCAAGGAATGTGTGTATGAAAATCTGAATTTTCATTCTACACCCATCTCTTCAGCATTTAATTCCAAATTACATGAGTCAGTAGTATGATGTAGTAGCAAAAAAGGCAAATGCAATTTAGCTTCATGAAGAAGAATGGAATTTTAAATATGAGAAGTAGCTGTTTAAATTTATTTTACATTAGTCAGACCCCATCATTGTAGTATCATTTGTGAGCACCCACATTAAGAAGGATTCAGACAAATTGAAAGCAGACTCAAAGAACTAAAAGAATAACCATGGAAATATAAATATGAAGCGATATCGAAGGGATTGGGTATGTTTAAGCTGGGGGAAATAATTATTTGTTTACTATCTTTTTTGTGACTCTTGGCAATCAAAATAATTATGAGATTGTTAATATAAGAAGTGAAAAAAGAGAAAAAAGAAAAAGAAGAGAAGAGAAAAGAAAAGAAGAGAAGAGAAGAGAAGAGAAGAGAAGAGAAAGAAGAGAAAGAAGAGAAAAAAGGGTACTTTTCAAGCACTCCAATGGTATAATAGAGGAAAAGGACAAATGCTTTCTCTCCCATTTCAGGATGTAGGACATACAATAATAGATTTAAGTTCTAAGAAGGCAGGTTCTAAATGTTACAAAGAATTTTCTGACACTCACAATGGTTTGACAAAGGAACTATCTGCCTACAGATGCAATCGACTCTCCTTTCTTGGATGTGCTCAGTGTAGATTGCAATCTCCATAGAATGCTTTAATTTGGACTCCTGTATTCAAGAGAGGACAGGAATGGTAGCCAAAATGGCCTGAATCTATGATTCTATGGCCTTGGACCTGGATCTTGACTAATTCTAAGTTTCTTTGATTCTATGATCATAAAACTTGTGTTATAGCCCATGACTATAGACCTATTAACTTTGTATGACCACTGCATTTTAAAATGGAATACCAATACTACCTATATTTAAAAAAGGGTTTTAATTTAACTGTGGTTTTTTAAAATCGGTCTATCATTCACACATCACAAATATAAAGCACTTCTCTAAATGGAGTGGTAAAGCCACTGGCCATATCCAGGTTACCAAAGTAACGGAATGGCACTTATAATGAAAAGCATCCAAAATGCAGAACTTGATGAGATCTTAGAATCTTCTCCTAATTAGATATATTAAAATAGGCGATATAGATTTCCGAAACTTTCTTATTAGAAAACTTTCTATATATAATGAAAGAAAGCCTAAGATAAATACAAAAGTACTCTATTATCTGGGGAAGATCTTTGTTCTAGCAAATATTTTGAGACCATAAAACACAAAACATATTTACTTATCTAAATTAAGTAAACACTTGGATTCAGAAATAGGTAGTCAAACCTTGAAGTAATATGTATCAGCATATTTCTGAAAGTATTATGAACCACCCCTCATCTAGTATATGTCCTTCAAAATTATAGCAGTAATTTATGCAAGAATATTTCAAATGCTACCATGAAATAATATGTTCAAACTGACGTAAAAACTCACTATCTACTTAAATAGAATAATAGTCTGATTAAAATCCTTAACTTCATGCAAATACTAATTACTTAGACAAAAGAAATGCAGAAATAAAATTAATATGACAATTTCTCTTATGTTAAAACACTATGGAAGTTCTTAAAAAAGGAAACTTACCTTGCTATTTTACTCAGTTGGACAATTCACATTAATTACTGCATTTTCTCAGAAAGGCATGTTAAATGGCTCAGTGAAATATTGCGAAGAAATATAATTTTAGGTGCCATAATGGTAAAATAGAATGGAATCTACTTTGGAATAAACATGTATAGGAGTGTGCTGTCTCTTAGGGGTGGAGTTATGGAGTTTGCAATGAAATCATATTTACCTTCCCATTATTCTCCACCTCA